ATCAAATTTTCCTTAAAATAAAAATATTTTCAATACATAACTGGGAACATTAGAAATTTGTTTAACATTGTAACCATTTTTGAGCTTTGTCTTGTCATAATGAAATTCCATTAGGATGCAGCATTCTTGCGTGGTGCCTTTTATGTTTGTTTTTATTCTGAACAAATGGTCTAGGGACATGGGAAAGGGAGGGCTCTGCTGTTTCTAATGGTTGTGATACTTACATCCGTAGGGGGTACTGAAAAACCAAATGAATACATTTGTAAGACAGTGCACTGTTTCTATAGAGAGATTAAATTATTTTATTGACCATTTGCAATGTGTGTTCTGTTATTTTTAATGTTGGCGCTGAAGAAAACATCAAATTGACTTCAAACATAACATTGCAAGCCAGCACATGGCTTTATTAGCAAGTCCTCCAGCTCATTTAGAAATTCTTTGGCGCCTCACAGGGGGAAAGCACCCACTTTTCCAATGCTCCTGAAGCTATGAGGGTGAATATTTGTTCACAAACTTGCTCTGATAGATTCAAGGACTACACTGAAGTCTTCATCTCATGAAAATTGCCCGATCACATCTTTATTAGTGTCTTGCAGTGATAAGGAGGCCTGGATATATTTCTCTCAGCTATATTTAGTTCTGATCAATCTTGAAATCTTTCTGAACTTCCATGTAATCATTAGGACTGGAGTCAATCAGAATTCAGGCAAAGGAGGCTATTTGGTCTAGGCCTTGAGCATAAGATGAGCTTCACACTTAGTCATTAAGTTGTGAGGTGGGAGGCTACATTGCCCTTACAGTAGGGCTTTCTTGTGATTTATTTTCATGTCATTTTTTATTTTTTATATGAGGCCTCAAAAGTTGGAGATGGTCTGGGTCTCTCTGAATTTCTGAGAGGATTTGGCTCCCTCCTCACTTAAAACAGAAATTGAAGTTTAAAAAGTTAAATAGGAAGCTGCATGCTGCAAATCAAAGTATAAGTTTCTTACATCGACTACGTTTCCAAAAATGTCTTTGGCCTCATATACTGTAGATCATTGTAGAAAATGTAAAAGGGAGGGGCTGCAATCCAGTGCTTTGGTTGAAGGTGTTTCTGGCTCCTGAAAAAAATACAAACTAGGGTTTATTAGGGAGCATCCTGAGCAGATTGCCTTCTGGGAGGTTTGTGACTGACCATACAAACTATAGCAAACATTTACACACAGCTAAGCCCAGCCATTCAGTAAAAGTGCCCACAACACAGTCTCAAAATTCTCAAAGTACCTCCTAATACCAGAAGAATGGAATACATTAAAAGCTGTCTCTTTTTTCCCCGAGTAGATTTTGCAATTAAAGGAATAAAATTTAAAAATCTACTAATTGTCATTGAACTGATACTTCTTTATTAAGGCTTATAAAAATATTAAAAGAGTCCCACTTTGCTAAAACTATTTTTTTAAAAAGCTTATGTTCTTTTCCCTTAGCATTGCTATCACATAGTTGACAAGAAAATGAAGCTTTGGCAAACCACCAAATTCTGGTTAAGTTGGCAACCCAACTGAAATTTTACTCCCTGCTAAAAAGCATCCTCTCCTGGACATAATACTTCATTGTAATGCATTCTATCTCTTGGCTATGTGGCTCTCCAAAAAAGGCCACAGTAACTACAGATTCAGCAGTTTTTATACTAATTAATAATGAACTCAGAGCCTAAATTTTGGATCTCAGTGAAAGCTACCAACAGCACTAGAATGTATAAAGGCACTTCAAATTTATGTTGAAAATGTGAACAAGAAGAAGGGACATTTTATCATGTTTGATGCATGTGTAAAAAAGAGAAAATCCTAGATTCAAATACATTCATTGATTCAGAGATTTTTAAATATTAATATACGATTGAAACCAGGGGTTTTTCTTTTGGGACTGATAGACAAACAGTTGGGGAAAAGTCATGGAACTTTATTTTTGTACATGATAACTGCAGCAAGATTATTGTATGCACAAAGAAAGATTCGATATTACCCACAATGGAGGAATGGTTGGTGAAAATGATGGAACTTGCTGAGATAGCTAAATTGTCTTCTTTGATCAGAGAAAAGACAATATCTACATTTATTGCTGACTGGAAACCCCTTACAGACTTTTTGCGTGAAACAGAAAAAATGAACTTATGATTTATGGTTTCAATGATTAGACGGAATAGACTATAGAAAGAAGAGAGGTATGTTGTAACCATACAGTAAGAGAGAAACTCATAACTGAGATAAACTCTAACCCAACAGAGAGTGATTGAACTGACACCTATAACAGCCTCCTTCATTTCATGATGTCATAAAAAATGTCATAACCAGGATATGAGCATACACAGACATACATGTCTATATCGTTGTTATTATTTCTGCAATTTATAAATTATGACCTAAAACCATGAATTGAATGTATCACCAAATTCTCAGAAATATCTCATGAAATTTCTTTTGCTGTAGACTCTATACAGTGTAGAGCAATCTGTATCATCTCAATTCCTAATTCATCAACCAGAAATTGATGTGCTGTGCTGTCCATACTACCCCACAGGGCATAATCTAAGATTTATCTTACTTCATATGCAGAATATTGGTCAGAATCAAAGCTTCCTTTAGGGTTCAGTTTATTATATAATGCACAGTGTCAATCCATTTTCTCTATGTTGTATAAATCATCCAGTTTGGAACCTGAAAACCTCTCCTTCCAACATTTTACAGGTCCTTTTGAAGTTATTTTAACCCAATTTTTAATTTATGTTTAAGATGATTAAATGATAGTATTATGTTTCAATATCTTTTTTGCTGCTGTATATACTGTTTTATTTCTAAAGGTTCCCATATATGGCCACATATATCTTCTTAGGCAGCAATTCAGAAGGTATAGGACATACAGTATTTCATTTACCTTGCATTGTTTGTCTCCATGTTAAATAGCTACTTAATGAGATAGAATTGAACAAAATAATTCCAGACTGGTTTAATACACTGAAACCTATTCCAAGGTCAGTGAGTGTTAGAGACATCTTCTCTACTGTCATACTTTCATCAATTTGAAAATCTGCAGCTTTTCCAAAGGCCAAAGAAAAGTATCCTCCTTGCATACTTCTAAAGCCACCTTTCTAAAAGGAAATATGCCAATTAAAAGATAAATATGAAATAAATTCTATAGATTCAATTTTGGCAGTTCTTTTCTTTGCATCACTTATCACCTGTGGGCAACTACAACTAAATATGAAAGGGTCAAACAAGATGTTCTCAGTACTGTTCCAATACGAGGTAGCATATAACCAGGATTGATTATGTGCCACCCAGTCGGTGTTGACTGTTAGCAACCACAAAATTAGACCTTCCAGGATGATCTGTTCCAAGTGGTCCTTGAAGCCTTCCAACAGTGCAGCCATTGTCACTATAATCAAGTCCATCCACTTTGCTACTAGTCATCCTCTTCTCTTTTCTTCCACCTTTCCCAGCATCAAAGCCTTCTCCAGAGAGCTAGGTCTTGACATACAACCAGGAAAGAATCCATATTACATGCAGGATCCATCTCATACCGTTATCTCCTGAGATTAAACTTCCAAATCCTTTGTAAACAGAAAGCCAACATTTCTTCACTGGGTCCCATAACATATCTATTAACAATGTTCTCAACCGTCAAGCATGAGAGTCTCCTTGGACATATTTCTAATGTGCAGTTAATTATGAGACAGCAATGGTGAGAAGTTAAAGATGGTATAATTTTGTTTTCCTGGGTTGAAGAACAGATAAAATGGAAGGTGTGCTGGAGAAGCAAAGAGGAGATTAATGCTAGTAAGGGCAGCAGAGAAAAACAGATTGTTAAGGGCAAGGAATACTGGCTGGGGAATACTGGGAGTTCAAGTCCACACATCTTAAAGTTGCCAAGTTTGAAAAACACTGAGCTAAAGCAATAGTTTTTCCAGGGATAATGTACAGTGGTGAAACTTGAAGCAGAAAGCATGTGATAGGAGTTAAATGCCTTTAAATTATGAATAGGACTACAAAAAATTGCAAGGTTGCAAGAATGACCAACTTCTCTTGAATGAAATAAAAATGGAAAGAACAGAAAAAGAGGGAGAGCCATGGATCACCATGGAGCAGGTTGAGCTGGAATAGACCTAATATGCATGTACTCCAAAACTCTGGGCTACCATAAGATGGCAGCAAAGAGATCAGAAAAATCTGGAACTTTTCTTTCATCTTGTGGTTCTCTGGATTTTTGCAGGCAGGCCAGACATGGCATGCTTAAAATAGATGGCATTTGTCCATGCAGTCACCATGGGTTGGTCCCCACTTGAGGGAACCTGTGTAGCAAAATGTCACAATCCACACTCTCGACCTGACTTAGAAAGATCTCTACTTTGGAGACCTCGGTGCTCTCTGAGTTTGGTTGTTTGCTTGCAGAGGTTTCATTACCAACTAGGTAACATCATCAGTGCTAGTAAGTGTGGGGTTTACTCCCTGTTTACATCGGTAGCTTGCCGTGCCGGTGTTGGTGGGATGTGGTTTTTCCCCTTGAAACGTCTGCAAAGAAACAACCAAGCTCAGAGAGCACCAAGGACTCCACAGTTCAGCCCTGAGCTACATATATTCTCTTCTTCTACATCTCTACTTGCTCCACTTTGGTGGAAAGGCTACAGTACGGATTTCGTACATCCATCCTCAAGCAACCAACCTTTGGCTTCAAAAAAGAGCCCGGAAATCAGGCTCCTAAATCCGTGTTTAATTTCCCAGTGAATGACACTGGCTATGATTCCGCCTGCAATGACACCCCACTACATTGTTCACCTCTATGGTGAAAAGTCCTGGAATTTCTTATTGAAAGAGAAGCAGCTCCTCTAAACCGGAAGCACTTTGCCTTGACGCGTAGAGCGACGCGCGATTCTATTTTATATAAGTCTATGGAAGCCTTTTCCTGCGCATGCGAGGAGAGGTGCAAAGCGAGTTAGCTTGTGCGACTCTTCTGGTTGATTACGCGTACTTCAGGCGCCGTACGCGGTGCATGCTGGTTTCCCGGCGGGCGCTCTTCGATCATGGCGAGCGACTTCTACTTGCGCTACTACGTTGGACACAAGGGCAAGTTTGGCCATGAGTTTCTCGAGTTTGAGTTCCGTCCTGACGGTGAGACTCCCATTGTTTGTCGGTCCTGAGCAACAGGCGTGGTGGCGGCTTCTAGGAGCAAGGCAAGGGGGGAGAAGGAGGAGGTATCTGCGAGGGAAGAAAAGACCTTGCTTATGCCGGTAGGGTAGCTTAATCGGATGGGAGGAACAGACCCGGTGGAGGAAGGAGAGGTTGATGTTTGTTGAGCGAAAAAGCAGGAAGCGAATACGAGACTGCACCTGGGCTATGTTAGGGTGATCGGCGGAATTAGCTCATATTAGAACGAGTTGGGCTCTGACAGGCCGGCCCTGTAGCTTCTGGAGAAATAAGATGAGTAAAGGGGGTATCATAGCTTATCTGGTCGAATAACAGCTTGGAGGAGTTGCCTATATGGGCCTTAAAGCTAGTGGCTCAATTGCTTGAGGAGTAGTGGAATATGAAGTTTTTGTAGGAAATCAGGCAGACATCCAAATGCAGCAACAGAGTCCACAGTAAGGAGAGGATGAGGATCAAATAAAAAAAGTTTGAAAAAAATAGATCTGTTATGGAGTCACTAGGTAGCCAGACTCTCTCCACCATCGCTTCCTGTTGGTTAGCTCAATAGGAAATCAGGAAGTCAGGAATTCAGCATAACTAAACTTTACTTAAAGGGGAGCTGAAGGACCTCAAAAATTAAGAGTTTTGAAGGAACCGTGCACCAATAATCCTTTTTATCTTTGCTTAAGTGTCACTGCTTTCACTTCCTTGTTCTTTGTTTAATTTATGGAACCAAAATCAATACATTGTTGCAATTAACTTAAATGAAATAAAATGCTGCCTTGTTTACATTTATCTTGCAATGTTCAGTGTAATCTTTTTTTTAAACAGGTAAATTGAGATATGCAAATAACAGCAATTACAAAAATGATGTCATGATCAGAAAAGAAGTAAGTTGACTTGTTTTAGTGTATCCATTATTTTATGAATAGTAAATTAAATAAAGGTTATAATGAGATTTTGGAATTTCTTTACTTGGTTGGTACATTTATGATTTTGAGAATGCTGAGAATTAATCACCCATTTACTGCTTGTTTTAAGTTTCTGTGTAAAACCTCTCTCTCAGTTGTCTTGTTGAAAATCAAACCTCTAAAAGGATCCTTTAAGGTGGCTAGCATTGACTGTACTGTATAAATGTACCTGTGCTGTTTTTTTCCCTTTTAAATTATTCTGATGGGTACTTGTATAAATGGAAAATAAGAGAAATTAGTCTTTTAAATCCTTTTTTTTTAAATGGCAGAATCAAACTAATGTTTCTACATTGTTTCTAGGCCTATGTACATAAAAGTGTGATGGAAGAACTAAAGAGGATAATTGATGACAGTGAAATTACAAAAGAAGATGATGCATTGTGGCCTCCACCGGATAGAGTTGGTCGGCAGGTTAGCAGGTTTCCTATTTACTGTGAAGATGCTCTAAATTAATCAGATACATGTTTGTGCACAGCCTGTAATCTGTAAGAGAGCAATCTAGATGGGGTTATAGTAGCTGTCTCCAACCAGGTATCCCTCCAGATATGTGGAGCAACTCCCAGAATTCCCAGCAATGGTTATGCTGGCTAAAGAATTCTTGGAGTTGGAAGCCCAATGTATCTGGAGGAAGATTAGACTGGGAAGTGGGTATAGAGTCCTTTTGGCTCGTAAGAGATGTGAAGCTGGAGATTTTATTTTTAAAATCTTTTTGAAACTAAAAATGATATCATCACATGGGCATAACTATGGGGCCCAAATTATCCTGTCAACAAAATGTTTTGAGGCCCTTTGCCTCAAGATGTTTGCCTTTACATCTGGTAGGGAACATCAGTCACTCATAATCCACAGATATGTCTCTGGGTGGTGTAATAATAGGCTGCCCAGCAATGGGCCCATGTCCCTAACAACTCTAATCCTGGGGGAATAGGAATGTAGCCCCCAAGTCTATTTTTGTGACTCCAAGAACTTCTCTGTCATGAGCAAACATTGATGGCTTGCTTTTTTTCCATTTTGATACAAGGAAGATACGAAAGCTGTAGAATAATTCCTGAAATAAATAGACAGATCTCAACATTCTCCTAAATACAGGAAAATAAAAACAAAAATCTCAATCCTACCTATTTGCATCATAACCCCACCAATATAATCTTTGAGCTTCTACCAGCTGTTAAGCGTAATCCATTAATAGCTTGTTAACCCCATCAATACAAATATGTGATTAAGAATGCTGTCTCTGCCATGAAATGGCCACAAACCCTTAAACAGCTGAATATAAATATTTGATCTAAGTCTAGAAGGTAGAATATCTTGCTTTAGGCTTGAATAATCATTATGGATGTTATGAGAGAAAATGGAGAAGAGAAATTCAAGCTTCATAACAATGGTAATCCATCCTAAATGCATTTTGTTTTCTTATTTATTTCTAGGAGCTTGAAATTGTGATTGGGGATGAGCATATCTCTTTCACAACGTCAAAAATTGGTTCTCTTATTGATGTGAATCAGTCCAAGTAAGTGCTTTTTGAAGAATGAATGATACTATGTACCTTGCCTTTTTGTATTCATTAAATTAGCATTGTAAAGAATTGCTATATGGTGACTTGATCTCTCCAAGACAATGGGAGCACCCAAAATATCTATTTGCAGTTTTAAAACTATTGAAAGCCAGTAAAATGTACTCAGATGTGCATATGGTACGTCTGATACTTGTTTTCTCAGAGAATCTTGTACAAAGCTCTGTAATAAGAGGGCCATGTAAAATCAAAAGAAATCAAAGTGAGCTCAGCAATCAAATGCCCTGAGTTTGAAATACAGGAGGCGCAGAAGCAATGCAAGTGTATCCTGCCTGCCTTGCATTGAATGCCTTTATAAACATTGTTGTGCCACTTTGCATACTTTAACAGCTTTTTTCCCCTCACACATACATCCTGTGCCCATGTGCTGTCCACGGTGGCCATTCACTGCCAGCAGCGCTCTTCCCTTGTACCTAAGTAATTTGGGTTGTTTGGGAACACGGTTGCAATTGGCAAGAATTCTGTTAGTTTCCCTTTCTAGCTCAAGTGACAGGAAGCCCAGTAAACCTGTGTCCAGAATGGCGTGGCTGCCAGGTTAGTGGGGCAGCTTGGGATGATGCAGAAGGGAGCTCTCTGAATGGGTCGTGCAGGCTTCCTCCTGTTTCACCCCACAACCCTCCTCCACTCACCCAGCATGTCAGCCAGGATAGTTGTGGAGAAAGGTCTACCAGTCTTCTGGTAGGGTGGGCCAGGAGGAAGCTCTCTTAGTGCATCATGGAAGCTGTCTCCTACTTCAGCCCACATGTTCCTTCAGAAGACCAGTAGATCCATGTTCAGAAATAGCCTGAATGAAAGATTATTGGCATAAAGCACTTCTTATCGGTAACCTGTGATTCATGCAACTTTAGCAACCACTCTACTCACTTCAAGGAGAGAGTTGGTGGTTGTTTCTCCCACTAGCTGCTAATGCTTACTGGAAGGGGAAACAAAGGCAGAGGAATCCAAAATTTACTGCCCTTAAATTGTCCCACAGTAAATCTGTATGGGTGAGACCCTTGTTATTGAGACAGATTGGAACTTGGCTGTTGGGGCAGTGAAAATCATGCTGGCAATTGGAGGAATGCATATTAATGCATCAATTTGTGAAATATTTTATTAAAGCCATATTTTTTTCTCGTTTACTAAAAATGAGAAATGATGGCAAATCAATTTCACAATCTTTTAAAAGTTGTTTGACATTTTGATAAGTGGCTTGGAAATTCTCTTTTCCTGATAAGGATGATTTTGGTGTCAAAATTCCTTAAAGGTTCTGACTTTTAACTATGTCTTTCCATTTTGCTCCCCAGGGATCCAGAAGGTTTAAGAGTATTTTACTATCTTGTCCAGGATCTCAAGTGTCTAGTCTTCAGTCTCATTGGATTACATTTCAAGATTAAACCAATTTAAATTGTGTCAATCTAAGTTTGTATATTAAACATTTTGGGGGGTGGGATTCCTTTCATTCCATATCTTGGATAACGTTTATGTATGTCTGTTTTTATACAGAGTGAATTTAATAAATACTAAAACTTTTTTTCTTTTTATTTAGAAAGTCTTTGTCAATCAAGATTCATATTTTAGGGATAGGCTGTGTTTGTATGAATTTGAGATGGTTGGTAATATAACAAAAGAGTCAATCTAGATACCTACATGATTATTCTTTTAGCCTCCGTGTTGTAAAGAAAGTTAGGTAACTCGTATGTTCAGGAACTGCGTGTGTCAGTAGATTTTTTGCTTGCTTTGAAATACTGTACAGTGGAAGGAAGCGGAGTTCCCATAATTCAGAACAAGAGAATATGGAAGAAATTTGCATATGCTAGGGGACAGCTGAAGCTATACAGACCAGTATCCTTTAGTGATAGACATTATTTTGTTTCATTTTTTAATGCAACAAATTCTTACTTATTCCATGGTGCTGCTATCACTTATTAGGGGGGCAGAAATCTGCAGCAATTTACGGTGACATCATTTTGGTTCTACATTCATCTTACTTTCTGGGTATAGTTCAGTCTGTTTATTATAATAACTTACTAAATGATCAATAGCTTAGCATCACCCCAACTTTTTGAGTTTCCTCCAGAATCTTTTATGTCTGCTTCAACATTCCTATTCTTGAGTAAGGTATTCTGTGAGATAGCAAGTTTCTTAGTGAATCAAATAAGAAATTTATCCCATTTATTGTATCTTCCAGTTTTGTCTACATATGGCACCTAAAAAAGGAAGGAGGTTTTTTTGACAATGAAGGTTTAAACAATGGTCAGATAATGGTAGGTGGTAACATTTCACAAAAAACTGGGGAATAGTGATAGAGACCACAGAAGTCGATGTGTGCGATATCTACGTGATATATGCACACATAGTGTGCTACTAGTGTTTGGCTGAAATAAAATGATGTAAAGCTTTGACTTTGTATATTTTAATAAAATCAAGTAAAATAGCAAAGCATTGCTACTGTTTACAACTTAAATAAATTGGTATCCCTATATAGGATTATTTAGAAGTAACTGAGCACTGCCTTTTTTTCCTTCCAGTAATCTGGCGGCCTAAACTTGGAATACAGTGTTCTGCATGCATAAGGCCAATTTTTTGCTACTCATGCCATTGGAAGGGGGCTTCTTAATAGCAGAAATGATTCTTCCCCTGAACTTTAAGTAGCTAGTATGAATAACAGATCACCTGATGTTATTTTGTCTCCAAAAGCAATTTTCTATGTCTGGTTTTATGATTCTTCTGTCAGATATGATGCTAAGTAAAATACATTTCAAAATTCAGGTACTTTAATTTTTATTTGTGGTTCAATGCCAGGGGAAGTCGGATAGATGGCAATGGCTGTGCTCTCCAGGAATTGAAGTTCATACATTTGAAGGGAACCCAGGTTGGGGAGGAATGACCTAGTAGAAAAGCTAGGTAAAAGATATAATAAGCATACTATACTTGCTAAAGGCACAGTCAAGTTTTTTCAATTCCCTGTTTAAAGCTGAGAGTCCCTTGAACTGTCGAATTTCTGAAATCTTCACGGATCTAGAAGGTCCGGTAGGGCTCCCACTTCTGTGCTGCAAAGATTCAGACCACCACTAGACGGCAGCGTTTGATCGCCCGAATTTTGTTAGACCAGGTCTGAAAACTCCAGAACGGTATAGCCACAAACGCCTGCCTCGAAACCTATTTCGGGGTGCAAGAGGCGTAAACCGAGTTAAATCGATGCCTCATTTGCGATCGAGCCTCGTCCACCGAATGCAAAGCCGGTGCTGATAGGGGAACAGATGTGCGTGTGCTCCACGTTTCCACAGGCAGGCGCATGCTTCGGATCTTTTGGGGGCGCATGGATCGAGAGGAATGGTCGTTTCCTAGAACCCGGGCACGGGCTCAGTGACCAGGGCACGCCCCACCTCTCCTCTCCGTCCTCTGGAAAATGCAAAGCTCAAGTCTCGCGAAGCTTGAGGAGCGCCTGCCCAGTTCTCCCGGGGGCGTCCGCTGCCGATTTCGGTCGCAGAAAGTCTCGAAGCGCTGCGGAGGTTCCGCTTGTCGTTGCCCGTGGGAAGGGAGGGGAGGGGTCTCCTGCCTGGCACGGCTCTTCTGAGGTTCCCATCCTTTCGTTGCCCCTTTGGCCATGGGGGTAAGAGAAAGCTCGCCTGGGTGGGCCTGGAGGCTGGCTGGGATTGGCCGCCGAGCGCATCTAACCGGTCGAGTGGCGTTCTTCCTTGCAGAAAATCGGCTTGCAGTTCAGAGCGACTTTGGAAAACATTACAAACCTCCGGCCAGTGGGGGAGGATTTTCGATGGTATCTGAAGGTACGTCTTAGAGAAAGGGTTTGCCTGCCTCCACAAACATGTTGACACGAGTGCTGTATAATTGCCTGCAATAATAGCTCCGTTTATACAACACACCCATGATGAAATAAGTTAACCAAGGTTTATTCGGTTAGCCCAGTGGCGTGGGTTATAGGTAACGTACCTTTTAAAAAACAAATGCATAAAAATACCCTCTTCATACCCAGCTCTAGCCAACCCTCCAACCCCAGTGCCTCAACATCTATGTATTATTATTTGGGTTCAACACAGTGGGATTTGGTTTTGAATAAACATGCCTCGGCTTGTGTTGTCTGTTAGATTATGGTGAAAATATGTACAGTTGGCCCATGTGAACTACCCCAACACAGTTGGATATCATTCTCATAGGGTGTCACATAAATTGCAGGGACTTAGCTGGTTTCTTTTATAACTGGCTCTTGGAAACCCGGTCAGATGGCAGTTGTAAAGGGATGCAATGGTGGCGGGGGGGGGGGGGGGGTTGACCGTACTCTTGGTTCCACTATGTCATCATTGCAAGATTTGTTTCAGGATCACTGTTACTAATCCTTGGCCAGGAATAGTTTATCTCCATGACCTATCGTAACATTGTCTGCTGATTTCTAGTTAGCAGCATTAATGGAATCTTCCAGTCCTGGTAAGCCCTTATCTTCTACAAGAAGAAGAGTTGACCCTGTATGATCTGGTCAGGTGGGCAGAAAATGCAGGAGAAGGGAGTTCCTCAAACAATGATTAAAGCCAGAGCCGTGTACACTTTAAAGGTGACAACCAGGACCTTGAATCATAACTAGGAGCCAGTTGGTAACCATTGTAGCTCCCCAAACAGTGCCCCCCATCCCAGGTATTTCAGACTATACCAATCCCTGACCAGGCAGCTGCATTCTGTACCATCTATACCTTCTGAATGTTCTTTAAAGGCATTCCTATGTAAAAGGGCATTACAGGAATTCAAGTGGGAGGTGACTAAGATTTGAGTGTCTGAGAAGAAACTTGCAATTCAGGAATGGATGCAGTTGGCACAGAAGACATAATTGTGCAAAAGCCCTTCTGGCCACAACTGCCACTTAGTGCTCACTGAGCAGGAGCTATTAAGGATCCCCAAACTGCAAACCACCTCTGAATGGGGGAGCGCAACTCCATTCAGAGGCAAAGATGGTATTTCCCTGGAATCATTTGGCCCACAAACCCAAAGCCTCTCCAGACAGGCCCAGACAGCCTCCAGACACTTTAAATTGGGACATTTGATTATTGTGCCGTTGGCTTCCACTCAATATATTTAGTTTGTATTTGTTTTCCTTTTATTTTTCAGCTTAAGTGTGGGAACTGTGGTGAGGTGTCAGAAAAATGGCAATATCTACGATTAATGGTAAGTCTCAAAATAAAATACATAAGATGTATATCAGACATGACATGATGCAAATGATGTATGTTATATAATTCACATCATTTGGGCAGTGGCATCATCAAGCATCTGATGTCACTTGTGGATGTCAGTGATGGGAACTGTCATCCAAAACATTTCCAGGGAACTAGATTTGGAAAGCATCTTATTTCCTGACTGTATCTTGGGTGTTGACTGTAGATTTCTTGATTATATACAAGCATTCACTACCATGCTTTCCAGGACTTAGCATGGAAACAATCTGTACTTTTACAAAAAACTCACTTTTTTTTTTAACTTTCATAATGATTTAATGGGTCAGTGATATCTATATAATTGCAAGGGTTCCTTACCTGCATTCATGTAATGGTAATGTTTTCATTGCCAATACATTTTTACAGTCAGATACATAGTTCAATCACTTAATTAGATTGCTGAATGGTGCAGTGTGAATTAGATTTTTTTAAATAAGAGATTTAAAAATGTATCTGGTTTTGCTAGAGATGTTTATCTCTGTTAGATCTGTGTTCTGGACTGTTATCTGGTTGCTTTGCTTAGTATTTGCATAACATTTTTAATCTCAGAAGAAAAGAGACTTCCATTAGAAGATTCAGATCTCAAGAAAAGGGGCTTTATTTCTTGCAGCCTCTTGTAACAGTGAAGCTCTTGAGATTGATGGCTGATGTTTCCTTTTGAAATTCTGTCTAGGACAGCCACCCTCTCAAAGGAGGCCGGGGAAGTGCCACAATGGTGCAGAAATGCAAGCTGTGCTCCCGGGAAAACTCCATAGGTAAGTGCATGTGTGTGTGCGTGCGCATGTGTGTATCCCCTAGATCAATGTTTCTCAATGTTGGCAACTTTAAGAAGTGTGGACTTCAACTCCCAGAATTCCCTAGCCAGCAGAGTTGAAGTCCACACATCTTAAAGTTGCCAACGTTGAGAAACACTGCCCTAGACTAAGAAGTCAAACTATTATTTTATTAATCTAATAGGAAAACACTCCTCCCCCTCCCCCCAATAATTGCCTATAAATCTTTTGCAGGGTAGAGGAAGAAATAATCTTCACCCTAAAACAGGCTGTGGAAAACAAAAATAAGCAAATGGCTGCAGATCTCTGTTGTAAAGGACGGAGTAGCCTAAAAATTGGTTGTTGCTCAGTGCGGGAGGACAGTATTTGTCTGCTGAATTCAACAATTATGTAATCTCTAAATAAGGCTGCATCCTCAGCACATATCTGTACATTTTGTATTCCTCTTAGAGTAAAACTGGTCCAAATGTGTCACAACTGACCAGTGTTGTCCTTACTGTTAGCAGAGAATATTGCAAAGGGCACAGGTATTACTAAGGATATTAACCTAGTTTACGCCTCCTTTATGTTATTGAAAAGCATTACACAAAACCTTCACCTGAAATAGTGACGATAGAAGCTGGAGATCAGTATTTATGGACCCATCTGATGACAACTGTGGCATATGGAAGATTACAGTTTGAATGATAAAAGGAGTAAATAGCTAAGAGACTGAATTAACAAATGAAATTAAAGAACAATAGATAGTTGTGTGTCCATGAAGCTAACAGAGAAAGATACAATAGATATAAATAAAAGTGTTCTGATTTTGTAGAATGGAGCTAAATACATGCATGGAAGTGAAAGTGTAGGTTTAATTATAAACAAAAGGGTTAAGTTTTGTGCCAAAATATGAATTTGTGTCATATTGGTTGTTATGGGTACATATGAAAATAGAACTCTGTAGGTTGGTGATAGCCACATGTTATGTTATTTATTTATTTATTTACTTTGTTTGATTTATTGCTGCCTAACTCCAGTGTGACTCTTCCAGTGAATGGTGAAAATAAAAGAATCAGATATTCGTTTGGGGAAAAATCGTGCCACATCCTGAATGAATGCTGTCCTGAAAGGTGGGAATCCTGCTAGGTGACATGAATGAGTGGATGGGTTGGTGGGTGGGCAGATTCCAACATTGATGGAAATAAAAATAATATAGGAAGTAGGTAAAGAGGGCTCAGTGAGAAGCCTCTAACAGCATGAATAGAAATAAAGGTATGGAATTATTTGGAATAATACTAAATAGAGGGAATGCTGGAAGGAATATTTTTAGAGATGGTGATATGTTGAAGAGTAGAATTGAAACACATACTATAAATGTCCAAGTAAAAAATGATGAAAAGGTGTAGATGGTGTAAGTAGACAAATGTTATAATATGGATATGATTTGTTGATGGAGTGGCAATGCGACTTGTTTAACCTATGCGTGAAGACTGTAACTGTGTGTGGCTGTTGGAGAAAAGCTGTTACAAAATATGCCATATATAAAGGGAAAGGTAGCAACAAAGAATGCAAGTATTACAGAGGGATTAGTTTGTTATATACACCTGAAAGGTGTTTGGCAGAATTTCAGGTCAAAAGGATACAGGATATGACAATGAGCAAAATTTGGGAAGTTTGACTTTATGCTGGGGAAGTAGTACATATATTTTTCCTCTTCAGCAAACCATTGAGGAATGTATAAATATGTGGGGAAAAGCTTATTGTAAAGCACAGAATAAAGTGAATAGACTTGAATAATGGAATCCTTTAGTGTTAAAGATTCCATTATTATGGAATTACAGAATTGAAGATTGATTGCTGAATGTGGTGAACAATATAAGATGAAAGTAAATCACATGGAAGAATACACTGAATACTTAATGAACAGGTCAGCATTGAGTAATACAAAGATGTTTGTGATGTGGCTATTATGGATGGTTTGGTCACCTTTCATTATCTTTTTTGATGATTGATGAAAACTTTTTTTTCTTGTATAAACTCATTGAAGATAGCAGAAAATGTTATTCCTGGTTTGCCTCCTTGTTGTGATTATGAAATGTTTGAATATTATGTGGTGTTTTTACAACAGGACAATATAAACATTTTGATTTCAAACAGGCAGATTATAAATTATAGGGAGTATATTCTAAGAAAATGCAGTTGGAGAGATACCCTGACTACTGTATCTTGGTCATCTTTCTATTTTTATTCTGAATCAGTATAGCCTGGAGGTAGCAGAATTCCATCTTAGTTCTTTCAATAATTTTCATCTCACTCTGTCCTTTTTGTACCCTTTTCATGCAAGCCAGCTCAACCCTTGAGTTGAGCTCAAACCTTACTGACTTCGTGAATCCATCTGTACAGTTTCCTTGGCCAGAGTATGGCTTGTTCCTGGTCTGCTGTTCTGACTCCCCAGTGTGGCTTAAAAGGCCCAGCCTTCCTTAGTTTCTGAGCCCAAATGAGGTTGGCCACGTGCTATCACTGACTGAGGTGCATCTAATCATGGCGCAGGGCTAAAGTTTAACGGTGAAGTCTAGCACATGAGTGACACTGAATCCATTTAAATCTAAATATTTCTGTAGCCTATGAATTATGCCCTTCTTTGCTTCAATGATATGTTTTTCCTTTGTTTTTCTTTCAGATATCTTAAGTCACACAATTAAGCCTTATAATGTAAGTCCATTTTATGTGCATTTTATGGAAAGGGTGGACTTTTAGTGGACTTGATCCAGAGAAACTAAAGTCCAAAATGATGAAGTGTATGCTGCTGTAATCTCACAAAAGAGCTACATGTGTGCCTCTGCACCAAGAACATAGATTGTTTGTTATTGCATTCAGATTATCTTAAAACTTGGTTAGAGGGTGGCCTTTTCAGAAAATGAAAAAAAAAATAAATGGAAACTTGCTGTTCATGTAGCTTCAACACTGTGCCTACAGGTTATCCTTCATGCAATTATCCCCATGCAGAAAACAGACAGTGAACGTGCCTTTCTTTTCTATGCACAGTAAGATAATCTTATTGTGCAAGGAAAGAAATGTAGGGTAAAGGAAAACTAAGCTAGGTGTAAATGTATGGACACTTATTTAGGAGTTAGCCCCAGGACTTTGTGATCTGCTCTGCATTTTGAGAATAGCTTTTTTGCTGATTAGATTCTTAGCCCTATGTATATTCCCATTCAACACAAATTCCATTTCCCATTATTTGACTTAAAGGCAGCAGTTTAAACAGGCATTAGTAATTATTTTTCTTTCATTCATGCTTAAATGTTTTCCTACTTTAACTGGACTTTTCTCCAGAGATTTACAAACATTACAGTTTATATTACTTGTAATATTACACTATGTCTTTATGGAGTATAATCACTTGGAAATTATGTCTTGTTTCTTCCTGCTTGTCTTTCTTCCTCTGTTTAAAAAGCTAAGTATTCTTTTGGCTGAATTCTAGGCCGAAGACAATGAGACCTTTAAAACAATAGTGGAATTTGAGTGTCGTGGCCTTGAACCCGTGGACTTTCAACCGCAGGCAAGTTCTCAAGAGAGTCCTTTTTGAAAGGTCTACCTATTAAATCCAAATTATTGAATAATTTGTTCTACAGCACACTGGGTTTTTTTGGAGCTAGTTCACACAACCATAAGACAAAAGCGTTAACACGCTTTTAATGGTAAATTTTGCACCTGAAAATTAATGTGATTTGAAGTTTGTTCTATACAAACTTAGATACATATAATTAGAATCACAAGATGGGGAAAGCTCCATTAAGTATGTTAATTTACATTCCTGGTTATGCTTTGTTGTTCATCTGGGTGGAACATTTGTAGCAGGGAGCCTGCTGAACTTGTTTAGATGAAAGGTTAGTGTTAAATCAGGCAGGAAGCCTATCCAAATAAGCAAGTTACCTGCTGCAGAGGTTCTGCCTCTCTGGGGCAGGAAGGGCTATTGGCTTGGTTTCAGAGTCCCACAGATAGGAAGAGCAGCTGAAATAAGTGAAATTCACAAGTGACCTTCCATGAAAATCTGTGTGGATATTAAACCTTGACCACAGGCTTGTAGCTCTACAATATATGTTTTCATCTTACGAGAATAGGTGGAGTCTAGCTTGCAAGAACTGTGTAAATTCTGAGATTGGAAAAAGAAGCATTTGCTTGTTCTCACTGATGCCTTTTTCAGTATGTGATCTTAGCCTGGCTTGACAGATTCCTCCCATTCTCCTTCAGTGTCTCTACAGAAAGGCAGGCTGAGCATTTGTGATGCAGTCTATATGACTTGTTTCTTAATAAATGCTACAAGGAATTATAACTGGAAATGCAGGTAATATTTTCAAAATACAGAGACCAAGGATTGTCATTCCTTTGTAATGTGCTTATAAGCTCCTCAATCATTTTTAACAATCAGCAGATAGCTAGTAGGCTCTTAGTAACTGCATTTCAACTAAAATCATGTTGCATTGTATTGAGTAATACATTTATTGTAGCACAAAGATTTGTTAGATTACAATAAGTTTGCACATTCTGCTGTCACTTTGATGTGCCAGGTTTACATAACTATTCACATGCGAACAGTATTTCCAAACATTCTGATCCAGTACAGGTGTAATAGCTACATAGATGGCAGTCTCTGTGCTAAAGGAAAGTATTTTGGCTCTTTTCTTTCCATCAGCATTATTCTAGATACAAATGTGTCCCTCACAAGTGCTTTCTAATTGTTTGTAGGCTGGGTTTGCTGCAAATGGTGCAGAGTCTGGCACATCTTTTGATGATATCAACTTACTGGAAAAGGTAGAGTCTTCACCTTTGTGGTTCAAATAACTTTGTGGTCTATAGCATACAAATCTCAAAACAGGCTAATATAAGATTAGCACTGCTGGATCAGCCCAAAGCCCACCTTAGTCCAAAATTTGATTCTCATAGTGGCCAACCTGATGGCTCTGGGCTGGTCACAGGCAGAAGGTGGAGACATATCCTTCTCTTGCTATTGTTCCCTGTAACTGGTATTTGAAGGTATCCCCAATCTGTAGGTAACATTGACTGTCAAGACTAATAGCTGTTCGTCACAGAATTTCCTAGTCCACTTTTACAGGTATCCAACTTATCTTATGCTGATGAATTCCAGCTTGTTAAATGAGAAACTAAGACTTCCTTTTGTTACCCCAAATTCACAAATTTGTGAAATAAGGGGGGGCTGAAGTGAGAAGACACTGTTTTTCAATCATGACACCTATATTCTGAAACTGCATTCCTCTAGAAGTTAGGCTGGCTTCTGAGTGTTGGAAGATAGAAGATGTGCAAAAATCTTCTACAGGGCTGTATGGATTATTGTACAGCATCTAGAATCAGATTTTATTAGCATTCTGGGGTTTGGGGGAATTACATTTGTTATTTTTTCTTTATGAAATGTTATTTTACAGTTAATTACCAAGGATGTTTTGTATTTTTATGTTGTGCTTTGGGTGTGTAACAGCATCTTGACATTGAGCTCAAAGCAGAGATTCTCAGCTAAACTGAACTCTTGTACCAAAAAAGCTTGTTGTGACAATGTAAATAGTGAATGATACCAGTTATGGTCATTGCTAGCATTTTTATAATGTGCCATTATAATATAGAGGATCCCTGAATTTGACTTTTAAAAAAAATTGCATTCTTTGCTAAAAGGTGGCTTATGCAGCTGAATTACCCTGAGTAAGATTGTTAGTCCGTCTAGCTCAGAAGTATCCTCAGTCATTGGCAACAACTTCCTGGGATTTGAGATGGGGATTCCTGGCCAATGCCAGAGACTTTTGATAACTTGTTTTCACACTAATCTCTACTGGGCAGCTCCAGCCTTCACGTTACACAACACAGGAGCAGATGCAACTCTGGCAAATTTAAGATACACAATTACAAATCCCATGTTGCAAGCAATCCTCCAGATTTGCCTTTCTCTATAGCATAGGGCAAAATCAGTGATGTCAAATAATCTTGGAGGTAATTTTTTTTTCATCCAGTGAGTTTTCCTCAGCTATAAATTGCATTTTGAAGGTCAGTTCTTGGCACGAAAATCAACCAAGTTGATGATGAGCTCTTCAAATAGCAAGACATGATCAAACATTTTCCTTTTCCTTTAAAAATGTTAAAAAGATTGAAGCCAAATTAAATTTGATTGGCGGTTTTGTCCCTAACATACAGGGTGGGGGGAGGTGTTACTGAAATGCAAGCTAAACTGCAAGCAGATGTCCACAGTTTAACTTGAAACAATAATACTTTATCTCTGTTGAACTTTGTATAGAGCTAAGATGGTATGTTTCACTCCACAGGACTGGAATGACTATGATGAAAAAATAAAGGAATCGGTTGGCATCTATGAAGTTACTCATAGGTTTGTCAAATGTTGAAACTCCTTTTTATGGCAAAGAGTAATTTTCCATACGGCAAGATCATTTAAATTGTATCCACAAAAATCAAAATAAAATCCATTAGTTTTGATATTTTTCCCCAGATTTGTGCTGTTACTTTTTTATTGTATGCAAGTGTAAAAATGCATGCAGTTAACACTGCAGTCCTTGTCTTGGAGTGTTGAATGTATGTTTACACAAGAAGAAAAGTACAGTAAAAATCAGAAAACATTCAGGCACAGGACAGCATCTGGCTGAAGGTTGCATGCTATATTTAGATTAATGAAAGAATTGTGAATTCCTCCTTTAAGGTAATTTATAATGCTGATTAACAGGGAGAAACATGCTGTACAGAAAGAATGTGCTCTCAACATTTTACATTTTGGTTCCTCTCACATTTTATGTCTAAGTGGAAATGCTTTATGGTCTGCTGAGAAAAACCAATGTAAGTAACATACATGATACCTTCATATATTCTTTTTTAAATTAGCTTGTATTTTTTTTAAATGCCAGACAACTGTCACTTATTTCAAATTCTATATACATTTCTATGATATATTTAATATATCCAAGCATGTACTATATTATGTCTTTCACCTTGAACTATTACATGTGGCGATTCTGTTATTTCAAACACCTGAAAAATATTTTTACCTCTTCCTTTGAAGAATGAATGGTACCTCTTGCAACCTCCTTCCTCCTTGTTCTTACCTGGTGATTGTTATAAACTGGAATGTGTAAAAATATGGAAGTTGAATCACTTCCAAGAAGGATCCAGGAGAAAGTGCTAATTTACAAGGAGACTTTCCCATTTGTCTTGCACCCTTTCAACTTCCTAAAATCACTTGTGCAAATTGGGGGGATCTTTGAATTTAGTAGAATATAACACAGCTAGAAGACAAAATTAATTTTCAACCTCATATTAGCAGAATTGCTTCTCTGTTGGCATTAGAATTGTGCAGTTTCACCTGCTGTAATTGGATGAAGATAAATAAATAAAACCTTGTGAAAGGAAAGTGCTCCATTTTCTTCCTTTCTTCACACTGTTCTGAGTTACAGGTGATTCTTGGAGGAGATGGAGAGTTCCTTTGATGACGTTTCTTAACTTAAAATCCAAACTGTATGTTCTGAGGTTACTTATTAAAAACAAAGTCAATTTGATAATAATGTGAACATTTAATATACTGAGAATTCATATTTCAGTTCCATTTCCTTTAAACATTTAATTGGGAGTACTCCTCATTGCACTGAGCTTTATTTAGAGTACATAAACATATATACATATAGGCTTGCAGAGGCAGAGTTTATACATTCTTAATATATCAGGAAAAACAAAATGATTATTCTGAGTAATGACATGTTAGAGATACAATGTATTGGATTCTTCTAGGTAAATATACTTTTTTGTGCAGAAAGATGAATAATAAGGATGGAGGTGTCTTTTAAATTTACTAGTCAGAACAGAAGAGACGGCTGAAAACATCGTAATCCGCATGAGTGACGTCTGCAGACATCCCTGCACCAAAAAGTGGATGCTTTTAAAGATTAGCCTGAAAATAATCTATTGCTTGAGAAGAAGTGCTTGCCTAGTGTTTTAACCCTTTATGTAATACCTAAAGTTTTCTTCAAGTTATCACTTTCCATACTCACCTGGTTGTGTCCCCCCCCCCTTTTCCTTTCCGTCCCAGTGCAGCTACCCCTTCCCTTGACCCCACCTCTGTCCTGTTGTTCTTAATACAATCAAGGCTGTTGACAAGAACAGGGGGGGGAAAGCAGGCATTAAAAAGTCCAGTGGCCCTTCAACCCTCCATAGAATGTCTAGTTACAAAATGTAAAACAAAAAACAAAAAAAACGGTACCAGTGTAAAAACTACCCAAGCATTAGCCAAATATTGAAACAAAAAGTTAGGCAGATAGCACCCGAATGCTTCTCAGAAGAGAACTGTCTTCAAAGCCTTCTGTAAAGCCAACAAAGTAGGCATCAATCAAATCTCAGGAACCAAGCTGTTCCTTAATATCAATCCTCTTATAGGATGGGGATCCTAAGCATCCTCTCCTGGGGAGACCTGACATCATGGGCTGGTTCTAGGTGAAAGGGGTGGTCTTGATTCTGTTGGGAGATAAAGGAATATGTAAGCATGTATTCTTGTATTTCTTGGTGTGAGAAATAATAGGGATTTTCTAAATGGGAAACTTTAGGCAATTATTTTTACTTAGGCACTATTAATTATCAGTTATTGTGGTTTTTGTGTGTATGTGGCTTCTAGTAAACATGTATACACCGATAGATGCACATTCACATAAAATGTGCCACATTTATTCAGCGGGAAATTTTCAGGATACATTTCAGCCAGAAGTTCTATCAGAATGGTATATATTATCTACCTTCCCTTAAGCTCTCAGAGCAGAAAGATACAGAAGTTATATGTCATTCCTCTATGTATGCCATTTTACATGACTTCCACCCCATTTCTTTGGGGGGTATTTTTTTTTTTTTTTACACAGTGTATATATATCTTGTATATTTTCGGTTACACTGACCACCAGGATGGGCCTGGTGATGCCTGGTGGTCAGTGTTTCACCTAGAGTTTCCCTTCTAGTCCGGCAATTCTGTCATTCGATGCAGTTGTCAACCTTAAGTTTAGTAGGCACAGAAAATGGGCATTGCACAGTGTTTTTGCCTGTATTTTTCTCCATTTAGTCTTCTTTGGGGGAAAGTCATTTTAATTCAGGATTTTTTTTTTCCTTCCCTTTGGGTAAATATGGTACTTGCCTTACTGGATATTCTTGTAGCTGTTTGTTGTAAGGATTCTAAAACTTTCACTTAAGTGTCACAAGGCAGATCTCAGGAAGGATATGAAAATTTCTATTCCAATAAACATAATGCTATGCTAGTCAAGATTTCTTCTCTTTTACAAAAATAAATGTATAATATTGGATTGTCTTATAACACAAGGCTTGCAGAAGGTGGGTTGTCATCTAAACATCACCCAAGGATTATTCATATATTTGATACAGGTTGTTCATATATATTATAAATTAATCAAACTAACACACATATTAGCAAAGACTGTATCAAGCAGTCTTATACTGCAAGAAAATCTGTTAGCCGATAGATAATAGATACAACACAATTGGAACTCCATTTATACTCACAGAGTTGGATCCAGGCTTAGTCATATTTGGAGTACAGCCATTGAAATCAGTGTAACAAGTTAGTCATGGCAAATGTAAAAACCCAGTGGGCCAGCTCTTTACAGGTAGTCCTCGACTTACGACTATTTGTTTAGCCACCGTTCAAAGTTACGACAGTGCTGAAAAAAGTGACTTATGACCAGTCCTTGCATTTACAACCATTGTAATGTCCCCCAGTCATGTAATCAAAATTTGGGCACTTGGCAACCAGCATGTATTTAAAACGGTTGCAGCATGCTGGGGTCACATGATTGCCATTTGCAACCTTCCCAGCTGGCTTCTGACAAGCAAAATCAATGGGGAACTGCAGGATTCACTTAATGACTACGTGATTTGCTTAATATGATTCACTTAACTGTGGTGATTCACTTAATGACTGCTGCAAAAAATGTCATAAAACTAGGTGCTGTCACATGATGCCTCGCTTAATGACTGCACCACTTAATGACAAATTTTCTCGCCCCTATTGTGGTCATAAATCAAGGATTACCTGTACATTCTTTTTTCTCTAGACCTTAATCTGTCATTTTTTTAAAAAGGAGAAGCAGGTCACAATCCAGCTGGAACATTAAACTTGAGCCAAAAGGAGTTTGTTACATAACATATTTAAGAAAACCAGCCCTGCTCTATCTTAATTACTAATTTGTTTCCCTTCTAAAATATTGAAAATATCGTCCAGTGACTTGTGCACACACTGAAGGAATTCTAGTGCATTCCTAGATGGATAAGCAGAAACATTGCACCCGATCCAGTTATCGTGCATGCCATAAGCTATGCCAAATCCATCAGGCACCACTGGCCCAAATCCACCCATGAACACAGCTGAACTGCTGAGAGTACTTGTGGAGAGAATGTTGTGGTTAATCCATGCATAAGCTTGGTCCTTGTAAAGATCTGGCAAAGAAATTCCTCGGGATTCTGCCTCACACCGCAATCCATAAAGGTGACGATCAAATCCCTGGCCTGTCAGGAAAAAATACAATTGTGAGTGGCTCTGAAAAAATCACTACCTGTTTCTAAATCTTATTTTATACCGCCTCCAAAGCCAAAAATGACAGGCTGCTAATCATTTATTTCAGAAAATTAAAAATGCTGTTGTAAAAAAGAAAAAGGTTTGTGACCTTGTTTAAATAAGTAGTAAAATAATAAATTTATTTAACCAGTTCCAGTCACTATGTTAATGTCTTACAGTGCCAAGAAGACTTCATGCCACCTGAAATATTAATTAACATCTCAGTGACTACTGGTGCTAAACAGCATCATCATTATGATGATTAATATGTTCATGGTAATGATACCAATATATGAAAATTAAAGCAGCAGCAATAAAACACAGGCAACATCTATGGTTTCCAAAAAATTGTAAAGACTTGATTTTTCCAAAGGGAATTTCAGAACTGATTCCGGAGCCATCTGTGAGGGTTTAGATTTACTATATTACTATATTGTTTATATTTTTAAAATTGTTGTTTTACTTTTACTGTATTTCATTATATATAGTTAAATTGCCTATGGACCACCTGCATTGAAGTAGTATATACATTTCATAAAAGAAACAAACATCTCAATTAACCTCCCAAAGCTTTCCAGAATAGTTCAATTTTAACCAGCTTCCAAAAAGCTGCTAGCAATGGTGTCAGTTCCAGAGGGAAGATGCTCCAAAATACCACAGCCATCACTGAAAAGGAGCCTTTCCTGCTTTTAGCTCCCCACCCCACTTCTGAAAAATAGGACACCACAAGCAGTTTGTTCCAGGATGAATGCCTCAAGATGGGTCAACCTCAGTTGGAGAGGGAGCTCTTGAACACACTTAGGTGCCAACCATAAAGGACTTTATAGGACAAAATCAGCACTTTGAATTGCACCCTATGGCAGCCAGTGCAGTACAGGTAGTCCTCGTTTAGCGACTGCCTTGTTTAGCAACTGTTTGCAGTATGACAGTGATGAAAAAGTAACATTGAAACCAAGCCATGCATCTATGACCTTAGCAGGTCTGTAAAGCAAAGGAAAGCTGAAGAAAGATCACAAGAACAGTTGTAGTTTCACTTAGCGATCACTTTGCTTAATGACAGGTTGCCAGTTACCAATTGTGGTCACTAAACGAGGACTACCTGTATGTCCTGGGCATTGTGCAACAGACAACACTGTACTGCCCTGTACTGAAGCAATAGCATCTTCAGGATGGTCTTCAAAGGCAGCTCCATGTAGACTGCACTAGAGTAGTCCAAACAAGTAATGATGAGGGCATGCTACCAATTTGCATAATATCTGTATCTCAAAATACTACATGGAAGTATTTTGTATTCTTGTCATATAAATCTATTGTTGTTAGCCACTCAGAATCAGTTGGAGTCAGGTGGCATCTAAATATGAATGAATGAATGAATGAATGAATGAATGAATGAATGAATGAATGAATGAATGAAATCAACACGTCTAAATGATCCACTGCAATTGGATTATGTTACTCAAAAAAAAAAGTTATATTGCTGTGAACACCACTTATCCACATGGAAGTCAACAAAGAAAAGGGCTGTAGTCAATGTAATCAAAAGTAGGAGGAAGATCGCTACAGCTTCACAGCCATACTAACCCAGGGCAGCTTCTTTTGTGAGTTGACTGTGATACGTAGAGCACTCTGTGATCATCTGGCGTAGCTCCACAGTACTGTGTTTCGCTGGCTTCCTGACTAATGCCTCTGAGCATGCCTTTGTGTAGACCGAAGCCGGCCGGATAGTTTCAGTGCGACCATGTTTGAATGCTGCTGTGCTACAAGATTCATAGGTGGCAACTGTTTGGCCATATTGTCTGAGAAAAGCCATCTGGAAGGCAAGCTGAGCTACAGCATCAGGACTCAGCTTCTGTGTCTTTATGAATTCCTTGCCTCCTCTTTTGAACTGGAAAGTCTCCAGCGTCAGTGTTTTCACAGTAGCATCAAAATTTTGCTTGGCTTTGGTAATTCCTTCTTTTAAGGCATCATTTAATTTAAAATTCAGCTTCTCTACGGCTCTGACTGAATCACAGGCAGCCGGCTGAGACTGAGGAGTAATTGCAGGAGACTCGGTGCTGTCTTTAAACACTTCGTTTTGGAACCTAAGCACAGCTACACCGTCTCCCCAGGAATGCTCAAAGTGAATTGCTGCAGAGCCGTCTTTAGCTAAAATAAGATTAAATGATTTGTCATACCACCTGTTAGTGCCATCACCATGGAGCATAGTATGAGACAGATGGTTGAGATCTTTAATTGGGAAATCATCAAGGCACAGACAGAATATGGCCGAATCCACTTTCCTTAAGGCCTCCCTGTTGCCATTGTCAAGGAGTTCCTGTCTCAGAGTCGCCCAAGTGTCCCGATTTTCGGTGGTTAGATAAGCAAGAGGGAATGCTGGAGCAGAAGCATTGTCCGAAAGGATGAATTTTAAGTGGGCTTGAATTTCTGATGGTTTTACTATATTGCCATTTCTGTCTATCACATCAAACGCATAGAAGTGTCCATTTCTAAGCACCAGTAAATGCCTCTCGTGCTCATCTGTAAACAGCTCATCTTTCTTGGGTTTAGGTAGCCGCGTGGAATTGAAAAGCCTGAAGTATTGTGACATGTCTAGTGGGTAGGCATTCACCATATAGGCACCAAACCATGAGAGAGAAGGGGGCACAAATCGAATAAACTTTTTGAAGACTGGAGTGTCGCTTTTGGATGGGTTGAGATGAAACACCTCTGGTTCTAAGATGCCTGCCCTAAGAGTCTTCAAGAAACGTAAAGCAGAAACAGTCATGTTAGTGGCTTTTACAAGCTGATTGTTGTATTCGGGTTTGGGATCAGGACTGAAAGCCATGAAGGGATTGAAGTTCAAAATAACTGGTTCCCGTGCCTGAAGGTACATGTTAAACCAGGGATCTGAAATTAAGAGGCAACAATATAAGTAAAGTTCAAGTATCATTAACACGAGATGCTCATGTGAGGGACCTCTAGTTAAGTATATTTAATGAGATCTATGGGATGCAGTACAAATTAAGTTGCCGAGTTCCCACCAACTGAAAACAGAACTTCTTTTAAATTTCCTGCCATTAATTTAATATGGGGCATTTATTTTGCACCCAATGCTCATTTACAATTTGCTCTCCTCTTTCACCATTTATCATTTCTCTTCAGTGAAAAAAGCCTCTCTCTCTCTCTCTCTCTCTCACACACACACACACACACACACAAATACACACACTACCTTTTTCTTTTACCTTTTTGCCTGTCGCTTCTGCTCTTTCCTGTGCTTTTCTTTCCTTTTTTTCCTCCAAAAGTTTCAGTTCCCCAGCAAAGGTTTCACTTCTAATCCCTGTCTTCATTCTATCCACTAAAGTAACTGAATTCTATACTTGGCATAAAAACTGTGGTATTTCTTCACAAATATGAGGACTGCAAAATAAATGTTAATAGGAAATGAAAAGTAATTCTCTGCAGAGTCTGAACCTTCAAACAAATATATTGGAATAAAATTGACATTGCTGTTCTATTTTTTTAAAATTTTCACAAGTTAGTGACAGAAGCTAGCAACAAAATGGCTATCGAAAACACATCTACAACCAAAAAGCCTAGACTCTGCAGAACATTGATAAGGATGTAGTAAGAAATAACATGCATTTAGGCCACCAATTCTGCTCCTAGTTAGGACAGACAGCATTGCCACCACTATGAAAGAGAATTGAGTGATTTTGTGTGATTTTGATTTGCAATGGTTATCTTAGATTTTCCACTCATATTCCACTTCTAAGTAACCACCTTCTCTCAATCAATAGTACTACACTACTGCTTATTAGTTGCCCATCGAAACGCAGAGAACTACTTCACTGTCGTCTTCCTAAACTTCATTTGAATAAGAAATCTTGCAGCATTTTATTTCAAATAAAAGAAAAATAGGTGGGGTGGGGAGGGGAGGGGGAACAATAAAACAATTCTCTTCTTTTCCACCTGACTTCAGTAGCATACATATTTTGGTTCTGCATATTATGTTCTGTCACTCAGTGGAAAGATTATAACTTGGGTAACCTTTAATGTATAATCATTTCTCAGCCTACTATCAAGCAAATAGGATGGAGCAGATAGCATTTTAAATTCACAGTGATTTAATTCAGAGTCTTGTTTATGTACCATGTAATAAGGCACTATTTTATTAAAGCATTTAGCAAGAATTGAGAAGTAGAATAGTGGCAAATGTGGTGAGATTTATACCAATAATGGGTGTATTGTGCACAAACATTTCTGTTATCCTTGGTATGTTTCCAAAGGCCAATACAGTGGTACCTCGGGATACGAACTTAATCCGTTCCATGACTCTGGGCGTATCCCAAGTTGGTCGTAACCCGACACAAATTTACCCATAGCGTTCAATGTAAATCCGGTTAATCCGTTCCG